ATCTGTAATGTGTGCTAAATAACATCTTATGGTATTTGATTATATATAGTTGTGTTTCATTTAAATGCCTAAGATTTGTATTTGATTAGTGTTGTGTTTTATTTAAATGTCTTAACTTTGCATTCAGATAGAAATTTTGTTGTATTTGATTGCATAAACTAATTTATTTGGTTGTAATCGAATACCATGCATGTTATTCGTTTACAACCAAATAAATAAGTTTGATTTATTCAAATGGTGAAGTTTGAATTTAATCGATTACACAAAAAATAATAATAATAACACAATAGATAAGTTATGAGTTCTTTCTATTTTTGTTCTCTCTTTAGAAAATAAGTTATGAGCTCCTAAGTTGAGAATCCCCTTCTGACTTCTTAAAACAATTAAGTCGGCTTCCATTCCTTTTCAAACTAGTCTAAAAAACTCAACTCACACTAAACAAGTTCAAATGAACAAAAATCACTTAAAACAACTCAATAACAATAATAAACTAGGTATCGCAATAAAATAAATTCAATCAAAATCAAAGAACAATAACTAATTAAATTAAAAACACAACAACACAAATAATTTAATTAACAAAGTATCAATAAATTAAATTAAACTTAACAAACAATTTAAATTAAACTAGAATGTCTCATAAATTACAATTGAATTCAAATTCAATAAATTTGACTTTAATTATTATGGACATATTGTAATGATACATATAAACACGTGTGAAAATGATCTATTATGAAGATAACATTAGTCTTTTGGTTAATAAATGTTTGATTTTCTTAAAACTTTCCATCACTTTATTACAAATTTTCCTATTATTTTAAGATTTTTTATTAATTCTTTCAACTCTTTTTTTTTTTGTTATTTATTATTTTCCTCATATTCAAAATATTTTTTCTAATTAGAAAATGACTTCTTTTATTTTATTTTTAATATTTTAATCTGCATCTATTTTTTTTATCATACTTAATTTTTCTCTTATATTATATATCTCCTTTTGACTTTTTTTAAAAATATTTTATTATAAATATAATTTGTAATTTTACTAGTATTTTATATTATTAAAATCAACATCTTTTATCAAATTTTAAATTCTTTAAATCTGGTTTCAATTTCTTTTGATGATTCTATATATTTTATTTGGAAGGATATGGGTACCTTTCATTTTTCATGGATACCGTATAATTTTCTTTATTATTATTATTGTTATATTATTGTTTTTTTCAAATATACGCGTAACTTTTGTTTTTAGCCCAATAGACATGGACATGGCTCAATTTTTTTGTTGATTTTTTTTTTTCAAATCAAAATGACATGTGGCACATAGCTATAATTAAAATCAAAACATTCCCAAAAGCTTACATTCATAGTAAATGTTTACTAAGTGCTTTATTCAATTGTGATTTTTTTTAAGATAAAAAAATTACAAACATAATTATAATAAAAATTGAACCTAAATCTTTATATTTTTACTATTTTGAATCTCTTTTTTTCTCCAAGATTTTTAGTTGAGACTTGAGAGTGTGTATTGCTGCGAACTATCGAGAGCATCACAACTTACGGAAAGATTCTTAAATTTAAGAAACTAATTCTTCTAGGTAAGCAACTTTACTGCTACAAATATTCTAATATAAGCAACTCTGGATATTAATTACTTAACCATTTTAATAATAAAATATATAGAAGTAGAATGAGAAAAAAATAAATTAATTTCAGACAAAAATAAATAAATAAATAATTTCATCTCATTTAAGAAACTCACTATTGGAGGGAAATTTTTTTTTTTGTAAGTTCTTAAGTTTGATGTGGTGTGTAAGACCTACCAAAATCAGGTTTTATTTGTTATGTTTTATAACTAACGTTTGAAACATTTTTGAATATTTTTTAATTGAGTAGGTGTATTTTTTATTAAATTTATTTGTTTTATTAATTTTTTACAGTTAATTTTAATGTTAAAATTGTTTTTTTAGTTTATCACATAAAATCCTCAAAAGTAAATACATGTATTGTTTAATTAAATAAAAAGTAATAAAAATCACTAAAATTAATCTAACATTTTTTTTATTAAAGGTAATAATGTGCAATAAGTTACTAAGACCTTAAATATTATTTGAACATTATTGAATTTCAATTTATCAATAAGTGAATAATAGTGTTTGATTTGAGGATTTATAGATTTCCTATTTGATAATATTAAAAATGTCATTCTCTATCTACTATTTTTCTGATAAAAAAGATTTATTGCTATTATAGTGCATAAAAAAGTAAAAATAATAAATAAAGTATAAATATACAAATTACTCAATGTATTGAGATAGGAATTAAATTTATTATTTATGTGAGTACACGTTTAGAGATGAGATCACTTATTTAGGCATAAATACGAAAAAAGGTTATAAATTAAAATATATAATTTGGAAAGTAAGATTTCAATTTTTTTTACTCTCTCCATTCTCATTATTTTTGCTACTTTCTTCTTATGACTATTTGAAAATTTTATTTTTCAACCGTCTTAAACTGTATATACATCCTTTTTATCTTCAAAATTTAAATGAAATTAATTGACCATACAGTAGCATAGATAAAATATTTAGAAGAAATTTTTGGTTAATATTAATTAATTTTAATGTGATATTTTTATTAATAAAAATACCAATAAATAAATTATGTACAACAAGTTTAATAATAGATAATTTTTTTTAATAAATTCATTAGCGACATTAAAACATAAGAATTAAAATAAGTTTTTCTTTAAATTTCATAGACTAAAAAATAATTTTAAATTTTAGTGACAAAAATCAAATTTATTTAATATTTGAAAATTTAAAAACATATTTAAGTGAATAATATATTTTAACCTTGTTGTATTGTTTGCTCTTGTAAATTTGTAATTCTCATTTTCAAAATTTTTTTATTTCTTTCAAATCAAATAATCAAAGAAAATCTATATTTTAATTTATTTATCTCTTTTCGTACTTCTATCTACGTACTCTGATTATTTTCTTATTAGCAAACGTAAGATTGGAGTTTGTTAGATATTGGAAAGAGCTAGCATAAACTTTTAATTTTGATGATAAAATGAGAAGCATGAGTTATACGTTACGTTGGCCCATAACAATATGAACATGAAAATGTCAGTTCGCACAAAGAATGGAGGAGAAGTGCTATAAACGTTTGCCTTTTTTTTGGTTGTAAAAGCCTTTGGCTAATTAATGTGACACGTGATGGATTTAACACATTGTCAACATTTTGTTTCATTTTCCATTAATTGAGGCTACTATGTGAACATGAATATGATACCCAAGGAGAGCATGCGTGCTTGTTTTGTTTGCGTGGCCGCACATGCTACATCGCCATAATTCACCTCGATTAAATAACTTGCCACCATAAAGTGTTTGGCTCTTTTCTCATTTTTTCTATTCCTTCTCTTTGTAATCTACGATTAGAACGAACTAAGGAATATTGTGTACATTGCATATTTTCACACCAATGATGCTTAACGTACATATAGAAGAGATAGAACAAATAAATGATATGATAGGAACTGAAGAAAGAGATTTGGAAAATTTTTTGGAATAAAAGTGATAAGAAAGAGATATTATAAGTTATATATATATATATAGAGAGAGAGAGGGGTACATGAACACATCAAAATTCTTATATTTTTTTTAATTTTATTTGTTAGAAGAACAAAATATGTTATATTAAAAAATATATTTAAATTTAATTATTTAAAAATGATGTCATAATTCAAAATTCGTTACTATTTTCACCTTCATATTTATAAGAGCAAAGTAATTATGATTTTCTAAAGAAAAAATAAAGTACAAATATATTTAAGAAAAAGACTTTCTTAAATATGGTAGACTTTTTTTTTTAGTATGGGTCGGGTTAGATAAATTTATATGTAAATATTTATAAGTGAAAAAAAATTTAAGCTTTTTTATAAAATAAAATTAACTTTTAGAAAAATTAATATGAAATAATTTTTACGAGATATATATATACATATATATCTATATTCAATTTTATTTTTGAATAAATTTATTTTATTTTTTTATCCTATAAATATTTATAGATAAATTTATTCAAACAAATCCTTAAGTAAATAACAAATTTATCAATATATGTGTTTTTAATTGCCTTAGAAAGTATTTTAATTAAAATTGGAGTTTACCTCAATAACTTATAAAAAAATCATTATTTTCATTAATTATTATTTTTAATGATAAATATTTTGTATTAATATTATATTAAAAAATTAAAATTCAAAAGTTGACTAATGTGGTTGAGTCAATATTATTATTTGTCAAAAATTTGTTATTGAAACTTCTTGTGTTACATTTGGTATTTTAAAGATCATCTTAATATTGCCAATCAAATCAAGAACCAACGTTCTAAAATTAGAGTCATGGTTGATTTGATCATGCCATTAACTAAATGTAAATGAGTGTCATTAGGTTGATTTTTTGAATGAACAAGTGAACTAGCTAGTTGTAACAACTCAATCCAATTTGAGATAAAATTTTAATATAATATTATCTTTAGTGTTGTTTTCAATGAAAATTACTTTTTTTTTTTACAAAATGAGTGCATTTTAGATTTTTACATGTAGATTGAGAACAACGATAAAATATATTATTTTTTTATATATAATTTTACTTAAATGACATCACTTTTTTAATAAATTTATTACATAAAAAAGATTAATAAAATTTACATGAAAGCAAAGTTAGAAAAAAAAATTAATATAACATATAAAATTGAGAACATTAATTTTTTTTTTCAAATATTAAACTTTAGTTATTTTTGGACAAAAGAAATAGAGTTTTACACTTTAAAATTTAATAAATTATTTAATTATACATGTTATAAAAAAAAACCCTTCAATTTGATTGGGTAATAATATCAAGAAACCATATGATATTACATTTTCTTTTATAATTTCAAAAAGCCTAGAACGATGTCGTTTCATATATTTAAAAAAAAAAAAAATCAGATCAGAATCGCACTAGGCAATTCGCACAAATTGCTCTTCACATCACACAACTCATCATCGCCGTCGCAACCAAGCTCTACGCCGTCGTAGCCTGGCCCAGCTACACCACAGCATCGTGAACTTGTGATATTCTGCAGGTTCTCAACAATTATCTTATATTTGTCCTTTTTGCATTGTTTATGTTTATGAATAAGTTGAGTTGCTTTGCTTTGCTTTGGTTTGCAAACAATGTTTATGTTTACTAGTTACTATTGTTTGATTTATAATTGGGAAAATGAGATATAGAGTGGTGAAACACTTCTCACTTTTCATCCAACGGTGAACCATTCTCAGTTCTCCGTCGATTCGGTGAAGCTTTTGTTCAATTGGTTCATTATGCGAAATTGTTTCTTAAAATTTTCACCACCAAATCCTTGAATGTAGACAAATTATTAAGTTCTTATCATCAGCAAAATTAATTTTATTTTGATTTTCACAGGGAAAGA